TTGGTGGATTCCCTCGCCTTGCATTGCTTGCATTCAATATCCCATCCTGGCCTGCTTCGCTAAGCTGCTGTTGGTGACTCGCCTGCTGCTTGCTGCCTGTGGGCAGACTCTGCTTGCCTTGCCGTAGGGAGGACTATGCTGTATGCTTCCTTGACCTTGGACCGGACAGCTCATGTGAGTTGAAGGACTTCGAGTATATTAACTGTTCTACACAAGTGAATTGAACCCTCTAAACTGCTATGTGGACTAATTAGCTGTTATATTCCTTCTTGCTGTCTAAACGTATCATAAGTGTCCTGGTTTTGTTTCTCTAGAGAACCCTGCCTAACACACCCACCTCACTCAAAGTTGCTTCACTGGTATGAAAAGAGCTGCTTCAGCTGCCCATTTAGTGGATCCTTTCCTGTCCAGCCCGCCACCACTAGATGCAGCACTGCTTCCTCAGTCTGGGTCTCTTCCAATAGGAACTTTCTCCCTCTTGTGATCTTGACCGCAAACGCAGGAAAGAAACCCAGGTAATGACCTTAGGTTTTAAAAGAGGTCCATGCTGTCCAGGAAGCACATAAAATGCTTGAAGGCACTGTACACCCTTTGTGGTTTTAAATTGCAAGGTCATTCCTGCAGCTGGTTTTCTTTGAAGTTAGATGGTTTGACCTCACTTGCAAACGATCTTGGCCAAATGCATCCACACGACAAAGAGGTGTCAGCTAAGAAAGAACCTCCTCTGGTCCCTTGAGGGCAGTCACAGGGGGAGCCTGTTACTTTCTATAGGATGAGGTTGAGTTCATTATTAAGCCCCAGGAATTTCCATTTCTTTACTAAAAGAAAACAGGATATTTGCCACTATAAAGAATAGTAATAATAAGCATGTCATCACCACCGCCAGCAACACAGGCGCATGAATTAAATTGACTGTGAGGTATACAACACCACACCTGTCACAGATACTCCATGTTCTATAAACTGAGTCCCTGCAGATGACTCACTTTACAGTTTGGACCTGAAGCTGGCTATCCAGTCAATGAATATGAATCCTAAGGTGGTTGAACATTTTGGTCTGTCCCCTACGATCTAATATTCATTTGTTACTCATCTGTTCACCAAATATTTATGAAGCGCCTCTTACACAACCCAGGTACAGTATCTGAGCGATGTGCTTCACATACACCCATGACCAGTGTGTCAGTGCCACTGTGATGATGGGTAGGTTTCAGTGGAGCTGCTAGACAAAGATGGAGTAGGAAGAACGGTCTGATGATCCATTTCTATAAACCAGTCCATGAAAACTGCACCATCTGAACCAGGCATCGGTTTGTCCTTTAGCATCACCGAGCACAGTGTCTAGTTAATAGCCTACCTCTTCAAATGCTTGAATGAATGAATACTCATTCCTCATTTCTATTGCCAGTATCAAAGATGGCTACCATCCATAGCTAAGGACAACAGCATGCTCTATGAACTCAACCAAGACTTATGAGCCTTTGTAGGGTAGCAGATAATGTGCTGGGCTGCTAACTGTATGGTCACTAATTCGAATCCACCAGCCACTCCTCAGGAGAAAGATGAGATTTTTCAGCTCCTATAAAGATTTACAGCCTCAGAGACCCACTGGGCAGTTCTGTTCTGCTCTAAAGGGTCGCTATGAGTCATAACCGACTCAATGGCAAGGAGTTGGTTTGACTTTAATGAACCTTTCAGCTCTTTATCTCATTTCATCCATGTGCTTTCACTCCCCATGTTCAAGAGCGATCACTGGGAAAGACAAAGCAACCTACTTCAGTCAAGATGTGTAGTCTTGGAAAGCTCATGGAGTGTGGGAAACTGAGGCACAGGAAGCAAATGCATGAGAACAAATTCTTTATTCTCAGAAAGAAACCTAGGGAGGTCAGGGTTCTTGGTAGAGGAAGGCCTTCACACTTGTGAGTTAGAGATGAGTCGCAATCACATTCTCATAACTAAGATGAATCCCCACAATATCCTCCCATAATAGTGCTACCTTAAAGTTACGTGGCTGATTGCTTCCTGGCTGGGAGCTTTATAGGAGCACACCTGTTGCTATTGCTCTCCTGCTCAGGGGACAGTCACTCCCCTTACCTCCCCCTAGCACTGGTGTTAGATTACTCCTCCAATGAACTCAGGGACTTCTAGGGTTAGGGTACTGTAGGATTAAATTAAAATGATGAGGTGGGGGAGGGGGGCCAGCCCCCACCGCTGCTACTAATACTACCTACGGGTTCAGTCAGCACAATTGTACGGTTGAGATATATAAGCATTATATTAAAGTCATCGAGAGCATGAGAGATAATACAATAATACAATCAGACATATTACATGGTAGCATCGCTCATCTCTGCCCTGCTTGGTGGTCCTCGTGGGGGGAACCTGGCTGCCAGAGCAGGAGCTGCCTCCCTCGCGGGAGCAGCCCTTTCATCCCCCTCCCTCATGGGAGCAGCCTCCTCAGAACCAGGGAGCCTCCTTATTTATTGCTAACCGCGTATCATATTACTTTAGGGGGATACATCACAGCATCATGCGTCACAGAGAGGGGCAGTACAATTCATCCTTGAACAGGTTTGATCATTCTGGTGTCTCATACAATAAAACAGATAATTACTATCCTGGGAGGCATGCAAGCCCCCTGATAGCAGATAACAACCTACATCATAGAGAGGGGTTGTAACATAGGCAATACAAGCAATA